TTTATTATTATATTTTGCAAAGTGTCACAAGGGTCTTTAAATAATGCGCAATTTATAGAAAATTAATGTATAAATTACACTTATTGCGTTAATATAAAAATTAATTAATTGAATTCTCTCAAAACGCTTTAATAAAATTTTAATACATTTTGATCTTATGCAATGATATTTTTTAATGACCTGCCGATTTTGGTACGAGCTTCCCTATAAATTTTATTTCATAAATACTTAAAAGAAAAAATGTACGAGAAAATACATTACTTACATTCGATATATTTTATAAAAAGTATCATTACTTTAAAATTATATATGATTTTCTATCTAAACTTTTATTTTTCTTCTATGCCCAAAAGTAAAAAGTATTTGCAAGATAGTAAAAAAATGCAGCTGGCAATGCGTTGCACAGCGATATCACCCGTAAACACATCTGTTCTTACATCTCTCATTTTTCTGCAAAGGCTAGTCATATGCACATATGAGAGAAATTTATAAAAGATTAAAGGGAAGATGGGAGACGTAGGAGGTCCAAAATAAAAATAAAGATCGAAAGAAAATGAAATAGAATGAAAAGAAATGGGGCACAAGGGTGTCGCAAAGTATACACGTATCTTTTACATATATTCTCTTGCACCTTGTCTGTTACGCAAGTTCTCTCCGGTCAGTTTTATGATGGCTATCGTTAGGGGTCAATGGTCCACGAAATTGCGAGGTCCCTCGATCTTGTCAGTTTCTCGCGGTTTCTCTGTACAGTCGAACGTGCAGCTATTTCTAAGCTAAAACTCCTATTGGGTAACGAGCTATCCCCCGATCGATTCTCCGAGTGTGTTGTAATTTGGATTAGCATATTTTGAGTAGAGAGAAAAAGCTTTCAAACTATTAAAAAAAATATAGTATTACACGCGCACATTGAAACGTCACATTGTCTATTTAAAGAACAAATTGCTGTAGGTCATTAAGCAAATGAGAGGAGCGAGAAGATTTACGATTGCGTTAAACGCATCTCTTGCTCAAGCCCGCGTAATATTCCGCGATGCAAAGTAACGTGCGCGAAATGCAACGTAAAAAGGGACGATTCCTCCCGAAGCTCGAGCGCTAATTAACTTCGCCTTCAGCCTGTAAAATTTCGCCACCTTGCACACTTCGCATGACGGATCATAACCGGAGGGCAACGAACTTCAAAATTGCGCTTCTCCCTTCGATCGCGCGCGCGGCCCAGGCATCCTCGTCCCGTGGATCCCAGGATCCCGTGCGCGAAGTACGATTGTCCAATAGGAACGAAGGCGGACGTTCGACCAGACCCGAGGTTCTCTTTACTTCGGCGAGTGTATTAGATTGGCTTCGAGATACGTGACCTCGCTTGAGAATCAACTTCGTTCCCTTCTCCACCCACCCCTCCGGCCTTTCATCCTGCGGGCTTCCCCCCGCACCCCCGCCCCACCCCATCCCTCGCCGTACCCTCTTCGCTCCCTCCAGCAAGCCGTGGCAACCGCCCTAGCCAACCACCGTTGCAACCTAACTCAACCTTCCCGGAATAGGTCTGAGCCTCCCTTGCCCCGCGCGTTTCTCACCCGTCTTCCTTCGTCTCGCTACATTTCTTTTTCCCTGCGCGCTCGTTGCACGCTGTCTCTCTCTCTTCCTCTCTTTCCTTTTTTTACACATTCTAGCAAGCGGCATGTTCGCGCGATGATCGTTCACTGCCGAGTGAATAACGAAGTATAAGCCTCGGCTAGTGAAGTAATTTGCTTTCCCGAGCTCAACTTAGTTTCTTGCGGGTTATGATTTAATTATATACTTTCTCAGCAAATTTTTATTAATTATATACTTTCCCGTGAATTTTGTTCATTACGAAGATTTAGATTCAATAAATCTAAGGCGTCGAGTATTAAATCGAGAAATGAAAAAAAATTGAGTTGTACCGCGAATTTGGTGGATTTCGATAAAATATATTATATATTATTCAAGGTATCGATAAAATGTATCTTTAATTATTGCAAAAAATCGCAGCCTTCTCAACTCGTTATTTTTGGACCGCGACATTGTTTCATCGATTTTAGAGAATGCAGTCGGCGAGATGCAAAATATTACGCTTCGAAAAATTTCTCTCGCGTTATTTCACGGTCGCTTCTCTCGTTGCAATAATGTCACATATCAACTGCAACTTTCACGGCAGATACGACCCTCGCGCGCTCGCCGAACGTGGTTTAATCAACGGACGGCGCGATAAACCGGTGTCCGCGGCTTTATACATGGTTGGCAAAATCGAAAAATTCGTACCGGGGAATCGGATGGAATTAAATCAAAGAACATCGACGTTATCGGGCGGATTCCCGGCAAATGACCAGAATTTCGAGACGGTTATAAAATTCCGCGCGATGCCTCGCCATGGCCGCACTTATATACGTGTATGTATCGCACGTACACCGAGAGATTTGTGTGCAACCGCGAATTGTGCCGGCTAGAGGAACAAACTTGTTTCCAATGTGTTCACCTCCTGCCGGAGCCAAAGAGCAATTCCTATTCCAACGACTTTCCGTAAAAACGTCTCATATCGTGAGACATTGTTAAATATATTACGCCATTGCCTCCTCTCGGATACCACCGATGTAATACATATGTATGCGACTACAAGGGAGAAACGGGGGAGAAGAGGAGGAGGAGATGGGGGGGAACCATTTCGATAGAAGATCACGTGCCTACAAGGTTTTACAATCCACGCGTTGATCAGAGAGTCTAGACGGTCTGATCCGAAACCGTCCTCGATTTTTCCGTCAGATGTGACAGGTACTCCACGTGTGTAAACAACTGTCAAAAAATTGACACGTGCACATTTTTGGAATTTTATTATTTCAACAAATGTAGCATCGCGTAATTTATTTCAATTGATTTTATTCGCGTAGAAAGAACGTTGTATAAGATCCTGACTTTATTAAATCAATGCGCTATCTCTATCGAGAAGCCTCTCTTCCGGCGCGCAAGGAGAGACGCGTAAAACTCGTGAGCTTTGTACGGAGAGATTTTTCCGTTCCATCACCGTTGCGGTATCTCTCTTCCTATCCTATCCGACTTCTCATTTTCCGCTTCCACCGTCCCTTTCCCTCGCGTTTCACAGATATTCCCTGCGTTTTCACAATCTCCAAGTTTTCATGTCCCTGAAATATATCCCTTCGTTCCAAGTTTCCTCGACTCGTTCCTGCGACTCGAGTCTAATGAGACTGCAACGTCGCCATCGAGATAGACGCATGGATGTATACATATATGTATATATATATCCATACCTAAATCCCTAAGTACCGGATTCCGTATATAGGTACGAGCGCATACCAACGCACGGAAATGCGCTCACTGACATCGGCGACGTTTGCCGACGTTTCTCTGGAAACTCGACGGCGACATTCCTCCGCCGGTCTTCTTACTTTGTTCAACCTACAACGTACCTCGCTTTTATGTAGCCAATCTTCACGTCAACAATGTAATACGCTTTACATCTCGGCGGAGACAAATAAAATTTCGCGAGCGAGAGACCTGTCCCTGATGAGAAAAGTTAAGAGACGCTTATTCGCGAAATTTGTTCCTTTCTTTCGATAAAATGCAGTTCGAGATAATACAACGGTAATAAGTTTCTGGCGGCGAAATAAAAATGCCTGACTTGAATTACCAGACTTAACTGGATCTCGTATAATAATCAACGATATCTCTCGCTGCAGCGTCTTTTTACCGCGTCTGCTTTAAATTCACGCGTTATACATATCGCTTTAATTCGCAGAAAAATTCGCATAAACAAATATTACATGGATTAAGAAATTTTAAAAAATTTTAAAAAATTTTTACGACTTTGTTCGAAAGTATCAAAAGTCTAGGTATAATTGATACTTATATCGAAGGTAGATGACAATTTTATCAAAGTAGAAAACATATCGCCGACTTGTTAGATCGGCTCACATTTATAACTTTGCTACAAGCCTGGTAATCGTAAACATAATAGGGGGTGTAAAGATGGCAACGGTGGTAACCAGCTGGACAAAGCGTCCGCGTCGAAACATAAAATCAGACATTGCGACTACCAGTACGATATCGTCCGTGTATATGAACGTAAAGAATCCTCTTTACGATATTGTCATGCGGGTTTCGAGATGCGCAACGGGTTACGCGATGACTTACAATTAGCTGGCTAATTAAGAAATCCTGGCGTCTTTGCGCGAGCTTACTTTACGTATTAATATCCACGAGAGACTCCCAGCGAGGATGCGTACAATTAACATGAATTGATCAGGCGTCCTAGATATTACCGCAATTATTACGATAAAATTGCAAAAAAACAATTTGGTACGATGTACCAAATTGCATGTCGGATGGCTAATTGGTGTAAGATTAGCGTGAAATCTTTTCCGAGTAAAATATTACCTATCACATATTATAAAGCGCACTGAAACATGAAGACACATGCAAGACATGTGACAGAAAATGTTAAATGCAATATAAATATTTGAAGAGCCGTCTGTGAAATATAAAATTATACTACACATAAGCGAATGGACATTTAAATGTTGTAGATTGATTTAATCGTTTGAATCAAACATTGTAAATAATTTATTCATTGCATTATTGATTTTAGGAAACGAGAAGAGGAAATCTGTGAAGCATCTTTCGCTAACGAAACAAAGTGCTATAGAAACTTTATTGAAGCCAATGTAATCGAGAAAATGGGAACGGCTCAAGAAATAGAAATGGGAATTTAGATACCTGCTGAGATTTATGTCAAACATTTTATTTTCGTCTCTTACGTCACTCCCTTCTCACACATATCGTTCTCAATTATCCGAATAAGTGTTTAGCAAAAGAGAGAACACATATTCCATCGTCTTTTCATTACTAAATTCATTGAATCAATAATGCATTAGTCTTTTTTTGTATAAAAACTATTACTTTGTATTAAATTCTTGATACTAAACTCTTTTATAATTATTTACATTTTAATATCAAGTGACATATTTTTGAAAAAATATAATTCTTTTCAATTTCGCAGTATATTTAACATTTTACTCGCATTTTAATACTGGGGAATGTGTAGGTAGAGGAGAAAGAATTTCAGTAGGATTTCGGATCTGTGCCTTTGCACGAGCCGAAGCGATTGGTCCTAAAAGAGGCGAAAGAAGAGCAGTGGAGATGGGTCACGCACATAGATGAGTAGATAAATAGGAGTTTACTCAATCTCCGGTGGGAGGACGTAAAGCAAACGATATTGGAACCGTTCGGGTGTGCATCGATGTAAATAAAGGGATGAGAAAATCTTCGTCGGGGGCGTTCGTGCGTGCGGCCATTACGCTAGATTGGATCTTTTTCGTGAACGTCCTATTTGATAATCACGTCGTCTTGTGCCTTCGTACAGGTTTGTTTTTTTTTCCTCAATTACCATCTTATCGATTACGAACGATTCCTGATAAATTTAACGTCGGAAAGAGCGGTGATCGGTTTAGTGCTATGTATTATTAAAAATTAAGTTATTTATTATCAAATTATCAATTAAGTTATTTATTATCGAATTAATAGAAATATAAATTTCCTCTTTTTATAAATATTAAGCTAACTTATTCAGCTATCACTAAAAAATTTCTTTATTCATTTTCCTGTTAATATAAATAATTATGATTTTATAAAGCTACATCTTTTTCAAAAATATTTTACATGTAAAGTTATTGTAGATATTGGATTAAAGTGTAGAAGCATTTTCTCTTTAAAACTTGCAAGATAAATCTCGGCGAAATGTATCGATTTCTTAAGATTTTAGGAATAATCAAGCGAGGTAGCGGACCGTATCCGGCGGGTATAGTTGCAACAGCTACAATGTTACATCCTTGACGGTGTGCGAGTAAATTTCATAGCGCGAGCGAGGACCGCAACCGCAATAAAAGACGAGCGCATCCACGGACGTGCTCGTATACTGGAAGACCAATGGCGACACGTGCAAACGCGCGACAGTGAGCTCGAAAAGAGGTAAGCCACGTATGTATGTATTTGTGCGGGTGTGTATTTTTGCACATGTAGATGCGCGCAAAACGGACGAGCGGACGAGCGTGTGCGGATGACACACGTGAAAATGTTGCAGCGACTGCATCTACGGCTACTGCGGCAACGCTGCGGCTCCAGTTTATTCATGTCCAACGAAATATTTCATGCAAGTCGGTGAGAAGGTTTTCGGCGGATCACACGCACGCGAGACATTGTCGGCCGGCTAAAATTGTCCGGCTATCAAGAGCCAGCCTTACGGCTGTGAAACACCGTCGCGCACTTAGGCCGCGGTTGTGTACACGAGAAGAGGATGATTTATAATTTCAACTATACAATGTATACGTCGGGTTTGCATCTCGATTGTCTTAACTTGACGGTTACCCGCGACCCGCTATTTCCCCCAGTCACGACACCGCTCGCATGTTGGATTTTATCCGACATGCAATTTCTTTTCTATTTTCTTGTAATTTATTATCCGCGTTTCCACCCTCGGAGAAAAGGAATAAATAATCGACTCGAGGTATTCTCGTATAACAAAATGCGGAATGTAAATTTCTCTTACATTATATGTATATGCATGCAGAATAACGTAGCGATAGTTTATAAGATAATTACTCGAAGCTATTTTATAAGGTTTATTTTTATATCGTAAAATAACATATCTCACGAAAATATTTATTCGTTGAAAGACAAGAACAACAAATATTAATCTCTCTCATACACTCAATAATATATTAAGAATCTAAAATATAATAGATTTCCTAGATTCTTAAAACATAATACATATAATATTAATACTTTTTAAATCACGATTTTATAACAAATTTCACATTTTTAACTCGGTAGAAAAATAAAAAATCGCGCGTCTTGCGAGTTTCAAAAAAATGTCATGATCGAAGAAGAAGGGAGCATTTTATAACATAAAAGGCGAGATGACAGATGTAACCTTGTGTCTCCCATTGGTAGAAAAAAAAAACTTGAGATTCCGACTTTATTTTACGTACGAACTTTCAAGTGTCATCTGCATCGAAGCATCGTATATGTATATGCTATGTGTGGCCATCCCGAGCGTAAATCTCGCGAGCGCTTAATTGTACAATTGTAGTAAATCAAGCGATCAGCGGGAAACCGCAATTATCCCCGCGCAGACAATGATAAATCATTTAGTAAAGATGCGAGGCTATAAAATATAATAGCGCACTAGTACCGCGGTTGTGTGTTACAAAGTATGTAAAATCCATGCGTGTCGCATATTAAGAAAACCGAAAACCCGTATTCCATAACAAAGTGACTAAAATAACACATGTGCGAAATATTATATACCTTACCTCTACGTACGTATCGTGTCATAAATGTCATTAAACACATTATATTCATTATATCGTCAAACATATTGGTAATTTTATGCGACGCTAAAAATAGTAAAATTTTTCTTTAAATTAATGAGACCTCGATAAAACATTTTTTTTTTACTTTTAGTAATGGTAAATTATTATAATTTGTCTACACAACGCGAAGATGAGAAAGAAGAATATGAAGCGATTATTTCAAATATGTGTGAGTCTCGTTATGATTCGATAAAATGCGCATGTAAAAAGATTTATAAAATATATATATATGAAACCAACGAGATTTTTTAGCAAGTTGTTTCCGAATCTAATCTTAAGTCATTTATAAAATAAACGACTCGTATGTGTCAATTTCTAATTTTTCGACAAACAAAATCGGAATTCCTGTTGAGAGATATATAAATGATTTGTGATTTATATTCTATAATGTTATGTCTCCTATCGGATATTTGTGAATAAAATATTCTTGGAGCTCTTCTTTTATTACATCCAACCACGCCAACAACTGTCTAGCGATGGCATTACTTGAGATAGGCACGAATGCGAACGTGAATGAAAAAACTATTAATAGAAGAGAGGAATTAAAAAAGCCCCGAAATTCCTTTCTTCGATTAATAAATAAATCTATACATGATATCAATATATAAAAATAATCTAATAAAATATAAATAATCTATCGATATCCCCGCATCAGGACAAATCATCTGTCAGCTGATTTTTTCTCATCTGTCAAAGCTGTCATTATTCTAGGAATCGCGCGCCATCGTTAGGCGTCCATCCTAACTACCATCGCCATTCTCAGCTGTGCGTAGCTATGTGTAAGTGCATCTACGAGAATGAATGTAAACGCACACAATAGTCCTCTTAGGCGGCTAAACATGGCACACAGAAGAAATATGGGAGCTCGATAATCGCAGGCAGCAGCCATTATTCGAGAGAGGGTACAGTTTCGGCGAAACCCTGATCGCATACTGACCTGTGGCTCGACGTGGGCGAGGAATTTCGCGTGAATCGGGGGTTGTGATCGCATCGCCGAACTAGACTCACGTGGTCACGTGGGCATCACGCACGTTCCCACACGTAGTCGCCGCACAGATGTAGAGACGCGGATTCCATAATACTTTTTTTCACGCATGCGCGTTCCCGGGCGACGTTCATTCACACGCGAAACGACGAGATTGACTCCGAAATGAAATCGTGCGGGAATCTTTCCGTCCCGGCGAAGCCGCCCCTCGCGACAGATAGCGTGATTTGGTGAACCCTGATCGGACCGGCCGTGTGTCGCGGCTCCAACTGTTCACAGTTAGTTCCCCGCGAGTTTCCTCCTCCTCGCCTCTCTCTCTCTCTCTCTCTTTCTCTCTTTGTCTCGTGCGCACGTACACGAAGAATACTAAGCGACAGGCGCGTATAGTGACGTGTGACGGGGCCGAATCACGTGCCGATTACGCTTTAAGTTTCCGCGTCCTTGATGTCATCGTTCGTTTAAACGCGCGGGAACAAAGGGCGCGAACTACCCCTTTGACAACTCCATTCTTATCCTCGACAACTTGGCGCGAGTCGTTAAACGTCGAGCGACTCTCGATCCACGCGACACATTTCGATATCAACGCTTGGTCGCTTCGCGATCGATCCTCGGATGATTCGGGACAAACGTTAGGCGCGACAAACAACGTCGGATCGAAACGTCTGTCCGACTGCGTAGCAGACGACATAATCGGAAGGCATGGAAACGCGCGAGCTCGATTTCGCTGGCGCTGTCGTCGATACCCTCGCTCGCTACCCTCGTCACTTTCGTCGTCGCCACGTCAAAGGTGTTCGCTACCGTAGGTGGTGCGGCCGTTTCGGTCCTAAGTAACGCCGTGTCACTCCGAAGATCCAGAAGCGAGAGGAAGAGTCGGAATAAAGTGGGGGGTTTATGGGTTTGCATCCTATGTACTCCATCGTATCCCTAGTTATGGCTCCACGACAAAACCCACGTGTATAACCTTCTTCCCCGTGACGTTACTCTCTTCTACTCTATATCCAGTATATAATTCTATCCGCACGCGATACATATCCTATATCGCGCGCATGTATATGTATATGCTTACGAAAGCGTATCAACGTGCGGCTGATACGAGTTCATATAACCAGTAACCCTCCTGAGTCTTGTATGCAAACGTTGAGTGCATTTTAGTAAAATTGAGTTGCTTCTTCACCGGATTATACCAATCTATTCCAACCTACGTCTTACGCCGAAGTATAATATTCGCATTTTGATCACGCGCGATTTGAAAATTTATACTTTAAATATTATATTCGAACGCGCAATAAAACCTTTTCGTTAGATTAAAAAAATATATATAATCCCGTGTATAATTTTAAATTAAAGCATATTGTTATAACCCATGCAACACAGAACATTGAAGTAATATTGCGACAATATTGCAACAATATTAATAATATTGCTGCAATATTCTATGCTGTGTGGGAAATAGATTTTTAGAACAATATTTGTGCATTGTATATTTATGTGTATTAAATATATAATACATGAAATATAATCTATATCTTGTTGGCATTTTGTGACAAGCAACATTTCAGTTTGATGTCTCAGTTTTATTAATATCATTATACTCTATTGCACGAGTCCTTAAGTATACAAATAAATTTACTCAGCAAGTTTCTGTAATAAAATATGCATGTGAAAAAATATATAAAGCTTCTATACATGTACAAAATTATTATACACGAGTATATGTCATGTTGCATGTCAGATAATGCTAAAACAAAAAGGAGCTATATAAAGATGTCATAAGCCAGCGGTATGCGGTAGCTAGATTCCTTTCGGAATAACTGGTGACGTCAGAAAGGCGGGAAGCGGCAGTTGTCGGTAAAGCAGAGTACTATTACACATTATCGATTTGAGGCGCGTAGCATGATCGTAAGATTCAAAAGTGCACAAGATACACGCACATTTTTTTATTTTGGTCCAGCGTCTCAGCTCTGTAAAATTATTAATAATTAAAATTTATTCAAAATAATTTTAATTAAAATTACTATCGATAATCCATCTAAACTGAATTGAACCGAATATTTAAAATACATAACAATCATATATTGCTTGGATATTTTCCAGTCCAAAAAATTTCTAATAATTCCTAGAAATATAGTGCAACACCTGGGTGCTAGGATGCTAAACGCATCCTGAACCCATCCCCATCGAAGGAAGAAAGAAGGCAGAAAGAAGGATGATTGTAGAAGAATCGCGCTGGAGGGATGGAAGCGCATGTCGCGATGGTCTGGAGGGAGAAACGCTGGGCAAACGGCGGCCATGATGGCATGGACAGACCAATGGTTGCGTCTGTTCGAGCTGTTACTGAATAATGGCCGCGCGGATCCGCCCAATGTAAAACCCGATGGACGTTACGCTTATTGGATACGAAAGCATTAAAAATTTTATTGCGTGCCTGGCAGTTACACCCCGCTTTTGAAACTGTCCCCTGCTATGATTCCGTCCCCTCTCCCTCGCTACTGGTAAAAAGCCGGTGAACCGATCTGTGGAAGCGTGCAGTTTCTTTAAAAAAAACGACGTTCCCTCCCCCGCCTGAAGAATGTACCTCACGAAATTTACTTGTCTCGATAAACACAAGCTCGATTCACTGATGAACTTACATATCATTCGTTACTAAGTTTGTTATGCAATATGCGTAATATAAATGTCGGACAATACGAGATTGATATATAACGCAAGCTTGTGTGATACAATTGGAATAATCGACTGTTTTTAAAGCACAATGTAACATTAACTTGATACAATATTTTTGTACATACAATAAACATATAATAAAAATAGTCATATAATAAAAACATATAATAAAAATAATCATAGAATAAAAATAAAATATGATCATGTTATCATTTTTATCTTTTTCCTAGAAATATAAAAGTTAAAAGATCTCTCTGCAAGTATGCATTATTGATAAATAATTTCTTATAAAATAAATGTTAAATATATAATTAAAATATAAAAAATAAAATTAAAAAATTTAATACAATGATATTCATAGGAAATGTATTTGGTATGATAAAAATAACACATGCATTAATTTATTCCTTGTAGTTATTATATAACACAATAATTATAATATAGATAAGATAGTTAATAGTCCCTTAGCGCGAATAAAATCATTAATAATAATTGCAAAATAATTATTTTTAATAACATTAAAGAAAAGAATCAACTTTAATATATC